GGGTTGGGTTGGGTTGGGTTGGGTTTGTAGGTTCCCCCGGCTCAGCCCTCCCCGCCCCGTCCGGCTGCGCATCCCGAGCTGCGGCGCTGGTGGCACCGGCGGGGGCCGCCCGCTCGGGGAGGCGTTTTACGGCTTTAGTTAGAGTTTAGTTTTCTGCCAAGAATTCCTCATTTCTTCTGCCACCCACTCGCGGTTTGGGCTTTCCAACGTTCGCCTATGGCTTAGCGTGGAGAAAAAGGGGATCTTGTCGTTCTCTGCGACTCCCTGGCAGGAGGTGCAGGCATGTGGGGTCAGGCTCTGCTCTCAGTGAACGTGGGACAGGACAAGAGGAAATGGCCTCAAGCTGTGCCAGGAGAGGTTTAGATTGGATATTAAGGAAAATTTCATCACCAGAAGGGTTGTCAGGCACTGGAGCAGCCTGTCCAGAGTAGTGGTGGGGGTCACCATTCCTGGACGTTTTAAAAAAATAACTGAACACTTGGGAACATGGTTAGTGGGCACAGTGGTATTCAGTTCAAGGTTGGACTTGATGATCTTGAAGGTCTTTTCCAACCTTAATGATTCTTTATGAAAACCAGCCTTGCGTCCCTCCCAGTGGTCCTCACACCTCTGTCCCATGTTCCTACCCCTTATCCCAGCTGTGGCTTCACACACAGTGCCCAACCACCAGCCCTGGGGCAAGCGAGCTCCAAGTGTGGCCCCTGTCTCGTGTGTCCCTCCCAGGCTTGCACAAGGAGGAAGGGGCAGTTTCTCCCTGGATTAAGGGAGGAATCAGGCTCTCGGGTGGGAAGGAAAGGGGTCCTGCCCTAGGCAGGTGGTGACAGGGACTGATCTGGTCACAGTGCTCAGGAAAGCCCGGCGGGAGGAGCAGCTGGTCAGCAAGAGGCTCCTGCGGGAGGACAGCGCAGCAGAGGATGGACAGGATGGAGAAGACATCGTGCCAGACCCACTCTCGGAGGATGAGGTGAAGAACATGACATTCTCCATGGCCATGGAAGTCCCAAGGGTCTTCCCTTGCCTCAGTGGAGGAGCATGGGCAGAGATGGGTTTGGGAGTGTTTTTGAGTCACTGCCAGTCACAGTCTTTGTGCCCATCTTTGTGCCCTGGGTCGTTTTGCCTCCAGGATTAGCAAGATGAAATCCTAACCCTGGCACTGCTTGAAGCTCACCCATTTCTTAACTCCTTGGCCAGGTCCTCGAGCTGCTCCGAGGTGTGCAGAGGGGCTCAGAGGAGAGGAGGAGGTGGCTCGGCCGCCTGCGCTGGGCTCTACGGAACAAGGACACTCAGCAGAAGTTTGTCAGGTCAGCCCAGGCCTGGTGTGGCTGTTGTCTCCATGGCCCTTTGTCCCTGTGGTTGGGTGGGTGAGCTGCTGTATGGCCCACGTGTTGCAAAAGCATCACTATAGGTCCAACCCTGGGTGCATGAATAGTCTATAAACTATAGGCCCAGTGGGATTCAGGAATAGCACAGTTTATTGAATGCAACATGTAAGGTTCTTCTGGGTTGCTGGTGATGGTGAATTAACTGCAGAGTTATATAGCACTAACAATACTAACAATAGCAGTCACAAGCTCAATGTCCCAGGTTAACCTTCAGCACAGCTGAGGGCACAAGGCTTACCAAAGGTGTCCCCCCTGGGGAAGATGAGGACAAACCCAGGATCTGTCCCTGCAGTTTGGTGTCAAATTCTCATTCCCTGGTTAAGTGCAGAATTGGGGTAAATTTTATACCTTATTAACCATTACTGTGCAAAGTACTGTGGGTGGGACTGTGGCCAAATCTTCTGTTCCTTGTGGGTGCATTGGATGGAAAATTCCTTGGTAGGAGGTTTGTACAAAACACTTTTGGGTCTCAGTAGGAGAACAGGGCTGTAGACCTACACCTGGCTCCACATCCACTCATGCCATGGCAACACAACCCACCACACCTCCACTTGGTTTCCACCCTTGCACCTGCAGGCCCCAAGGCATACTGAGCTTTGCATTTCCTTCACTGCTTTATGCTCCCAATGCCAGGGTGGAAGGTGACAGCCCCTTTGGGTCCCCCCAGGCTGGACGGCAGCATCCGGACGCTCACTGGGCTCTTCACCAGCAGCCTGGCTGACATGCAGCTGGAGGCAGCTCGCTGTCTGCATGAGTTGTCCCACTCCAGTGACCCCACTGTGGCCGAGGCTTGTCTCCCAGTGACCTCCTACCTCCTCACCTACCTGTCGGGACACAGCGTGGAGTTCACAGTAAGATCCGTGTGCATGTTTGCAGGAGCTCTGGCACCTGAGATTCCTTTGGGGGCGGTTGGTGTTGACCTCTTTGGGCCAAACATGGCTCACATGGGTGTGATGGGCCCCTTTGGAAGCCTCTAGTCTAGCCTTCCCCTGGGAGCAGGACTGTTCCCAGTGCCCAAGTCGTGGAAACATGAAGATCTCCTTCCCTGTGCTCCCTGCCAACACTTTGGAGGATTCAGGAACAGCCACTTTGTCAGTGTCTCTTCTTGTAACACACAGGCAGGTCAGGATGAAGAGCAGAGCACCTGTGGCTCCACACTGTGCTGTTTGATCCAGGAAAGGAGCAAACAGCTGGAGCAGCTCTGGGATGCCCATGTGTTTTCCAGCTGCTGGACAGTGTCCTGTGCTCCCTTGGGAAGCAGACAGGGTCAGAGCTAAGGAACAAGTTGGGGAGTGACCCTCAGGTGATGACCAGCACACAGACAGGCTCCAGGAGAGTCATATGGGGCTTAGGGAAATGTCATCCTGAAAACTAGAAGCCTGAGAAACCTCTGGAGTGGAAGTGATCAGATCCCAACCTCAGCCAGACAGGAAAAGGGCACATTGAAGCTGGTAGAGCTGGGAGGGTGTGGCTGGGGAGTCCAGCATTGTCCATCTGTGTTGTCCATCTGAAGGCAGCCTGTGGGACCTGAGGCCTTGCCTGGCTGCCCAGGGGCAGTGCAGAGGAGTCACCTGCTCCCTCGGGTGTGTTGCAGGAGCTGTGTTTGTACACCCTGGGGAACCTAGTGGTGGAAAGTGAAGCTGTGAGAAAGCAACTTCTGCCTCAGGGCATCATTCCAGTGCTGGCATCCTGCATCCAGGTGGGCAAAACAGCTCAGACACACTTCTGTCCTGCCCCAGAAAGAGTCTTTTCTGGCTGACAGCCCTGAGTCACCAGCTCTCCTTCCAGCTGTGGTCACAGGCACAGACCCCTCTGCAGGGAACTGTTCCCTCGAGCATGAGGGTCACTCCTGGGCTCTCCTGCACTTCATTTTGGGGGCTCAGCTCACCACCTTGTGCTCTTC